CACAGCACAAGCACCAGCACCGGCGCCCGGCACCAGCACGAGCAACTTGTCTCCACCACGCGCGCAGGAGCACCGGCACCAGGCACCAGAACCAGCAACCTGCCTCCACCGCGTGCACAGCCAGCTCACAGCACCAGCACCGGCATCCGGCACCCACCACCAGCACCGGCACCTGGCACCAGCGCCCGGCACCAGCAACTTGTCTCCACCACGTGCACAGCCAGCTCACAGCACCAGCACCAGCACCGGCACCAGCACCAGCACCAGCAACCTGCCTCCACCACGTGCACAGCCAGCTCACAGCCACGTGCACAGCCAGCTCACAGCGCCAGCACCAACACCGGCACCGGCATCTCCACCACGCGCACAGCCAGCTCGCAGAACCAGCACCAGCACCACCACCCGGCCACAGCCAGCTCACAGCGCCAGCACCAACACCACACCCAGCACCAGCACCGGCACCAGCAACCTCTCTCCACCACGTGCACAGCCAGCTCACAGCACCAGCACCAACACCAGCAACCTGTCTCCAAAGTGCGCACGGGCAACTCATTGTTATTTGAAGTAAGACCCCCATAGCTTTGCTATCTGGGGAATCGACTAAGCGCTTTCGTGTCCCCACACGTATCTTCCGCGGTGCAACTACTGCGTTTCAATGTGCTTTGGTGTCCTTGCAAACTTGCTTCCGACATGTAAGAGAGTGATACAACATGGAAAACACATAGTTTTTATGTATCAGGTATGCCTGACTGTATTTCTATGAAAATGAATCAAACTTTTTATTTCAATAGTCTATGGCCAGTACGTTTTTCATGGCTGCATCATTTGCAAGCTAAATGTAATGGCGTATAGTCTATATTGTCTACTGTACACAAGTCGAAAAATATACCCATCCGTATCCGTCCGTCATGTTTAAGTGGTGTCTCGGTGATGATTTGGTATCTTGCTCACGTTTGCCTGGTGTCTCCATCATGTTTAGGTGGTGCCTCGGTCATGTTAGGCGATGCTTCGGTCATGTTTAGGTGGTGTCTAGGTCACCTTTAGAGATGAATGCAGGATGAAGTGGATCACTCCATTTTGGACCCTCTTACAAAGTGTTTGCAAGCATTGTTGGCCACGCAAGCGTGAGGAAGATACCAAAACATCACCGAGACACCACCCAAACATGATTGAGACACCGTACAAACATGAACTAGATCAACTAGATACCACCAAAACACGACCGAGACGCCGCCTAAGCATGACCAAGACACCGCCTAAATATGACCGAGACACCGCGACACCACCGCCCAGGCCGGGGGCCATCTATAAGGGGGAATAAATGTGAGAACAAATCAAACTTGAGGCCAAGGGGGGGGCGAAAGCTAGCGCTCCAGAATGGGAAAGTGGAGGGCAGCGAGGTAGGAAAAAACACGGCGCTCTTTTTGGAGGCAGGGGTGAAGAGTCGTTTATATGTGGCTCTTTGCCCGGATCCTCCTGCGAGAGAAGAGAGAGAAGAGAGACGGAAAGACGAGAGACAGAGAGGAGAGAGAGAGAGAGAGAGAGGAGAGAGAGATGAGAGAGATGAGAAAGAGATGAGAGAGATGAGAGAGATGAGAGAGACAGTGAGACAGTGAGAGAGTGAGAGTGAGAGTGAGCGAGTGCGGCCGCAAGATACGCAACGCTAACCGCATGCCAAAGAGCGACGACAGGACGGAGTCGAACTTGCGAAGAGGGAGGAGGGAGGGAAGATGGGAGGAAGACAAGGAGGAGGAGAGGGGGGGGGGTCTTCGACCTGAAAAATCAGGGGTTAGGATTTGCACCCGGTCGAAAGAAACCTTGCTATCGCAAGAGTAACTCCAGCTAGCTTCGCTAGCTTTCGTGACATTACCCCCACCCACCCACCCATCTGCAAACATGCCAGAAAACCACAACGTTCATCCAGGTTCTTAAAAATTACACCAACATAGACCCAGATAGCTAGGCAGAACCCTTCACTGTCAGAAGCGGCGGTTGTTATCCCTTCACTGTCAGAAGCGGGCACCAGCACCGAGCACCGGCACGCCAGCTCACGGCGCCCAGCACCAGCACCCAGCACCCAGCACCGGCACCCTGTCTCCACCGCACTACCACACAGCACCGGCACTGGCGCCCGCTGTCTCTACGCAGCACCCAGCACCCTCCACCACGCGCACAGCCAGCTCACAGCACCCAGCACCAGCACCACAGCACCAGCACCGGCACCCAGCACAGCGCCGGCACCAGCAACCTGTCTCCACCACGTGCACATCCAGCTCACAGCACCAGCACCGGCACCCAGCACCATCAACCCTTTTTCCACCCCCTGCACAGCCAGCTCACCAGCACCAGCACCCGGCACCGGCAACCTGTCTCGAAAGCGCGCACGGGCAACTCATTGTTATTTGAAGTAGGAACCCCATAGCTTCGCTATCTGGGAAAAAACTGGCTACTGAGCATACTGTCTACTGTATACTATTCCACGTTCTCTGACCTGGTGCCAAAAAACAGTACTTACTGTAGTACTTCCTAGAACCCCCACTGAGTCTCTCCAACATTGGGGCGCAACGCGCAATGTGACTGTGGGATGCGCTTTGGTGACTGCCAACATGCAAAAACCACAATTGTTTGTGTGTCACCGGCAATCGAACGAAACAATTGGACTCAATCGGTGTGTCCCACCTGCCGCCATCTCACAGACCCGGCCAGCAGTTGCAGGCTTCGGCTCTCCGGGCCAGTGCTCCTGACCTATGAAAAGAGGGAACAATGCCACTCCAACCCAACGCTTGACAATTGCACATGGTTTAACAAGTCATGAGTCCTGAGATCTTGCAGAAATATTCTAGCAGTCTCGCCTTCTGGTCGGCACCAGCAAGCACTGAACACGCCTCACAATTGCAATTCATGATCATCAAGGGCTCACTCAACTCTACCAGGTCCCAGCCCAATGTTACTTTTTGTAAACCATCTGTCGCTCTTTACCCGCGACCTTCTTTGGGTCGGGGGATGGGTGGCCTTGATTGTCCAGGCTGCAAACAAGGTGGAAATGTTTTTGGGATCTTCGATGCTCGTGTTGGGTGAAATGCCATAGATATTCTGCAAACGCTTTGGGACGAGTCAGAGGAAAGCACGACAGGATAGTACCCAGCTCCAAGTCCAGTGGGCACAGCCGGCCCATCTTCAACCAGCAAGTCCAGCGAAGCATTTCTATCGAGCAAGCGCCAACCTCCAAATTCATTGACATCTGCAGGGTCAAGAAGCAAAAGCTTGCCAGTTGGCAACCTCACGTCAGCCACGCGAAATAGCGCTCGGCATTCATCGTGCGCGCCAAGGGACGCTACCAGATTTTCTGAATCATTTCGAACCAAGGCCGCAAACTCCACTCGGATTCCAGCAGCCCTGTCCAAAACCCATCCAAAGTCGGCAAGCCTGGCAACTAAAGTCCAGTCCGACCCAGGCTGACCGGTGTCAACACAGCATCCGTGAAAACCGCCAACATTACCAGGCCGCCCCAATGCATCATAACAGCGCCAATCCTCACCAACTGCCTTGTGATATTGACCGGGTAGCACAAGCTCGGCCAAAGCATCTGAAACAGGAAGGAAGCAAACTTTGCCAGAGTCGCTCGAACACCAAAAGTCTGGTGAGAAAAATGGCCACTCGGAACTATGTGGCTGGTTGACGTCTCTTCTATCCAAATACCAGTCCGGTGTCAGCAAAGCATACGCATCTTCGAAGAGCATTTCAACAGCAATGGCATCAAGACGCCGCAGGTTGACCGACGAAAAAATCTCTTCTGAAGTGAACAAGGCATATTTCTCGTATCTCTCAGATGACCTTTTCGAGAAAATCTCTGCAGAAGTGGCACTCACGGGTCTGACGGGTCTTGGACGACTTGCTCTTGAATTGCGCTCAGAGCGCTCAGAGCACTCTGAGCCAGAGCGCTCAGAGCCAGAGTAAACAAAGTCAACAGAGTGAACAAAGCCAGATTTCGATGAAGATCCAGGATCATGACACCTTGGGGCGGATTGCCTTTCCATTTCTCTGGCAAGCTGCTGAAGATTGGTGGATGAATTGGAGTATGTGTGCACGTACAGTGTGCAGCACACCCCTTTCTGATCCTCTGATCTACACCCCGAAACGATAAACACCTACAGTAGTTGCCCAAAAAAATATGTCAAAATGGTGCAAACAATTTCTTGACTCTGACATGACTAGCCGTGTAAGTCAATAAGCGAGCCAAATGCACATGACTGAAGTCAGCCAAAAGGGATTGCTTCTTAGGTTCTATGGATTCTATGGTTTTCTGATGCATGAGTCAAGCTTCGCAGTGACTTAATGCAACTGCGTAAGTGAAGTGTGGCGTGGAAGAATGGCAACACCAAACATATCAGAGGCAACGCTCCTTTTGCTCACATGAACTCCAACAGCATCTTGCGTTTCCAAGACCTGCTTTGGCAAAGGCCTCTCAACGTGCTCATGGGGTCTAGCAGGCGAAGTGCAAGCAGGTCTTCTGGGAGGCTTTGCAGCATTGGCTGTGAGCGCTGCTCAATTCGCTGTCGCGCTGGACCACCCCACTCGTCAGAGCCTTCACAGTTGTGGCCCATGGCATCGCAAAACAATCGAAATCTGGGGCCGCTTTGGCGGGGGCCGCTTGGGCTGGAGCCTATGAGGTCTCCAGAGCTCGGGACTGGTCCACTCAGTCCATACGGTCCATGCAAAGCCCCATCAGCAACATCCCGCCCCAATCCGCTGTGATTGCGCGAGTGACCACTGTGATTGCCCATCTTGAGCCACTCCACAAAACATGATGGTCTGAGAATTTCTTTCATGCTTGCCATCGGAGAAACTCAATCAAAAATCCTGCATCTCCAAATGGAAACCTTACTAGTAACCTTACTGGCCTCCAACTGTCAAGCGCAAATTCTTGAACCGCCACACCTGGCGCCGAACTGGAAAAGACTTTGAAGAAAAATTACACCTGCTCGGAAACCCAGGCAGGCGACACTAGATACACCATTCTTTGCATCTAAAAAACTGCCAACTAACAAACTACCTTAGACGCAAACCTCTGCCAGGTAGTCTGACGACATTTCAGGCGCCGAAAAGGTGTCCCCTTGCGGAAGGAAGCCCTCCTCAAAAGGCGGCACCAAGTTGCAGTCCCAAATGCATGCATATATATATATATATCTTGCCTAGGCCTTCAAACGCTTAAAACCCTCTTGCTGGCACTACGTCACTACGCCACCATGCACGATGGGTCCCCCACCAGCGCTGCAGTGAGTGGCATGGATGCATCACAAGCCTGACACCAAGTTCAAAAACCAGAGTGCATTTCCATGGATAGGTCGCGTCGCCCCATGTTGCAGTTATATAATATCGAGCGCCCAATATCTACTACAAAATGCAGGGCGTCCAAAATCCAGGCCCCAGACCAAAGGTATGTTACTACTACAAATTGAACTGCATACCTCAGCACACCTTCGCTCGTGTCCCCCAGTTTCTGCGAGTCACACTTGGTCCGGACTACCTGAGAAAGGAGGAGACAAAAAACCAGCCTCTGAAGAAGACATCAATATGGTCACGGGGGGCGAATGCGAGAGCGCACTGGAAGCATTGCAGCATGGGGAAATAGAAGGCAAAGGTGGGAAGTCTCTCCGTGACAGGTGGAGGGGTGGGTTGCCCTTTTCTTTTGTTTTGGGAGAGAAAAAGGGACCCCGAAGTAATCGAGGGGCGCTTGCCGGCGGTTTGTTTCACGTGTCTTGTAGCTGGACTCATAAACTCGGCGTTCTGCTAAGAGTGGGTCGATGATCATATGACGGTCCAAGCTGGGGGGAAGATCGCCGTTGATATGGGGTGAATTCGATGTTGCAGTGACGCGCACTGCTGTTGGAATTAGAAAGCAGATGACATAGGTGGGGGGGCTCAAGGACATTTTCAAGGTGAAAAAGGGAGCCTAAGGAATTACGGGCGCCTTCCTGCTGTATCTTCTTCTTGTCTTGTAGCTGGACGCATATACTCGGCGTGCTGCCAAGAGTTAAAGCCAAGATCAAGTGATTGCCTAACATCGGGTCGCTTTGTTATGGGGTGAAGTCGACATTGCAGCAACGCCGACGGGTGGTGGAAATAGAAAGCAGAAGACATAGTTCGGGGGGGCGCCCTTTTTCAGCTTGTTCGTTGTTCGTGTCCTTGTAGATGGAGGCAGAAACTCGGGCGCCCTTTTGCGTCTGGCTAAAAAGAGCACTCCCAAGCAACCCAGCGCATTCTGTTCCCTCTCCTGTCCTCAAGGTCACATTGTTTCTTGCAGTCCCTTCCACTCATTTTATCCACCAGAAAGCAAAGTGTTGGGAGACGCACATATCACTTTCCTGAAGGACCCCCACCCCTGGTCGAAGACTGTTTAAGTAGTCTCCGGAGCCCCTCATGATACGAATGATGCACTCCAGCGTTCCAAAAGCTTGGTTTGAAGCATTTGTTGGTTCATGTAAGCGAGTGGGGCCTGCCAAAGGACGTCACTCAACACCTCTTTCTTTTTTGCTCGGGCCGCTATCCGCTACCCACAACCTTCAACCGGATGTGTCCAACCTGCACAGCAAGTGCAAACAGCCCACTACAAGTCCGAACTCGTGGGACCAAATCTCACCTGCATCTGGTCGGTGGCCCTGCTGCACGCCCTTGCCTCAGTGACTTGCCTCAGTGACCTGCTCCACAAGTCCCTTTCCCCGCCAGAGACCTCCCCGACCGTGCAAAGCGGTGGACTGCTCTGAGGTAGAACAGCTCGGCAGGGGAGAGTCTAAGGAGGTACCAGGAATCAGGCCCTCACTGCACTGGGCCGGAGCTAGCTATGAGCCGTGTCCTGAGTAGTTGGATTTGCCTTTGCTTTGGGGAAACAACCCTTTCTCTTTTGTCCAGGCTGGGTCGGAGGAGCTTGTTGCTGGTTTCCCGCCTTTGGATGTGTCACCTCCAATCGCCCGACCTGTATGTAATCCATCTCTTTGGAGTAAGCCAAAGCAACAGTGGTCCACTGTTGAGGAGCCAGAGATGAAAAGCTTTTTGCTCTGGGGTCGTAGCTTTGGTCGCGGTAACTCCACAGCTGCGATGGGGGTTCTTCCACCAACATCATGCGGTAGGCCAGCTCCCACCGGTTTCCATCCATCAACCCATGCTGCCTCCAGCCATCAGCAAGTTTGGACCCCTTCAAGCAGCGCGCGCACATGGGGAATGTCTGGTCTTCAAAGCCTGCTTGCCACACCTTGTTCCAGCACTTGTGACAACCAAAATTTCTATCCCACACATGCCCTGTATCTCTGGCCATCGCATCCTCCAAGGACCTCTCACCACTTGCCCAGCGCGTCTCTCCTCTTCACGAGCAATGATTTCAGCTCGTCTCACGCTGCGCCAACTTCCTGAACACTTCCAAGCGTCCAGTAAGCTTGTCTTTTGCAGGGGGCACTTTGACAGCAACAGGCTTGAGCTCCCCATTCGTAAAGTGATCCTTGACCCTGGCCCGGTCGCCTTATGTGACCATGGACGAAGCGCTTGCCAGGCTTGCCACGCAGAGATCTCAACTACCACTCCGAATGGGCTCTGGCACCACACGCCATTTGCTGCGCCAGCGCTTTTCGCCTTTTCGCGAAGAGTCAGTCGCTGCTGAACTGGAACATTGTAACATTCTGGGAAGGTCTGGTCATCCGCAGCTTTCAGGCAGTGGTGCAGCCCACTCAGCCCTTCGCCAGTGGCCTGTGTCAACCAGGCCTGAGCCTGCTGATCAAAAGCTGACTTCTTAGCTTGGCCCCTGTTGCGCTCAGCAGCCCTCATCAACAGGGTCAGAGGTGTGGCATCACCAGCCAGCAGCATAGTCACTTCTGTGAAGTCATCAATGCTTGCCATCGAACTGAGATGAAAGGGCACAGCCGCCCCCACGCTCAAACGTCCACGCAACAACACGCTGCAACAAAAACCAAAACTGGCCCCAAGGTGACACCGGCTTGGACTTGGGCAAGGTTTTCATGTAGGGACAAGACTTGGGGCTTGCAGGCGCTGAAAAGCAAACTGCGCAAAATTCTGCACGCTGAATTTCACGAGGAGCAATAATGATGAGCCACACCGTGACCTGTGGAACAGCCGGCAACGGCGCATCCAATTGTCAATGTGCGCTTGCGTGCGGCAACCTCCATCTCTTGACGCTCACTGCCGCTGACAACAACTCTGCAGCAAGTAGGACGCAAGAAGATGATGCCCGTGGGACGTTGAAAACTCCAACTACAAGCCAGGTTGACACCAGCAGAGTCTCTCACCTTTGTCTTTGAAGAACATTGGCCAGAAAACCATGACCCTCGTAGTCAAAGCTAACACGTGCCCACCACTTGTTCCTCCCCTGCCTGTCTCCCACAAGGCGTGCCACCTGGAGCGGTGAAGCTCCCTCAACGCTTGATCAAGCGCGTTGCCATGTAGGTGGGCCTCAACCAAGAGAAGAGCTTTTTGATGCTGCGCCAAGACCCATTCTTGATGTTGGCACAGATCACGTCAGTACCACTTAGTCCTCTTGGCAGCCTTACAAACCCATATCATCACACCTTGGGACATGCTCCGGAATCTCTTTCAGGGCCCTAGGGTGTTCACCATCATCACCTAACCAAGTGGCCACTCAAAAGCACCTCGCCTCGCCTTGATGCGAGATAATGCCTTTCAGCACTGCTGGCATGCCCTATCCGCGTCATCTGAATACACTGAAACGTGGAAGGTGCCACAAGGGCTTGCGACGATGACTTGTCCGGATTCAGTGAAGTAGCATTCACGGAATTAGATACCCCAACATTATTGATCACTTGCCCTCAACACAATTCCCCCACGACAAGGAGTATCTGGCTGCGAGCCCAAGCACCATTATTGTTGAGTCCACCATTGCGATGCGTGACAGCCCCTCTTCACTCTCTGAGCGGGGCGCGGCCAGAGTTCTTACCTCAGCCACAGCCAGTCAACCCCAATCTCACCCGGAGCAAGGCAGCTACAGTTTGCGTGGAGAGCCCCACTGCACGACGGGTCTCTACACCCTTCGTGCGCCTCTTCAGCACGCTCTCACCCGGATGGCGCTCAAGGTCTTTTTGCTGACTGGTGCATAGTGAAGACAATGTCAGCCTGCGCAGTGGCCTTGAGAACACGATCTCCCCCATCTTGGTCCATCTGTCTTGCATGGAGGGTACTGCTTGCTCCTCCTTCAAAAGCTTGGCATACGCCTCCTACTGAGCTGTCAGCTGCTGCTGCTCCTCGTCAATGCCTCCTGCCCCACTTTCAACTTCCAATTCATCAAACTTGTAGGTCTCCTTGGCCACATCAACCTTCTGCAAGCCAGCTTTTTTGTTGGACAGCTGGCGCAACTCTCCAACAGTCAACAGTAACAGTGGCCTTCAACTTCGTCGGGCTACTCCAGATCAACTGCCGGATCTTAGTCTCCCTATAAACTTGTTGCCGGGCCCTGGTGGATGTTCAACTTGAGGTGGCATCCCCGTAGGGTTGACGTGCCTTGTTCAAGGGCCAAGTAGAACTGTGTCTCGATCACTAGAATGGCACAGGTGTAGGAAGGTGGCGGCCGTGCTTGAGCCACCTCCTCTCTCTCCCTCTCTCTCTCTCTCTCTCGATCCTTTCTCTCAGCATCTCCTCTCCATCCACGGCGCTCAGACCAAAAGCGGGGGTGTCAAACAGGCCCCATGACGCAGGCGATGCCCTCCAAACTGCCAGCATTTCCGGCACCCTGGGATGCAATATATCTGCTGCACCAAGCGCTTCCAGCGGCTATCCTGGCCAAAAGCTGGAGCGTCAACCACACCTAGTCTTCCAGCCAAGGATCATTTGCCTTGAAGCTGGGTCAACACTTCCTCAATCTGAGGAAGGAGGAACTCGCAAGGGCATCTGACCACATGCCCGCTTGCACGGCAAGGTCAGCCAGCGTCCTCTTTTGCCATCCGCCCATTTGGATTGCTTGTCACATCTGTTGCAAGTTACCCACTGGCCTCTTCGATGCAAAGAGTGACTAGGGCGCAAGCGGCCCACAATTGGAAGATAACCTTCCTCAACTGCGCCAAAATGGCAGGTGGACTGACTGAGTCAAAGTCTCCAACGCCGCCCTCCCGCATTTGCGCGGAACACGTTCCCAACATTTGGAGCAACCAAATGAGCTCTGCTTGAGATACCATCTGTGGCCAGCTCGGTCTTCAGGCACATCAACAGTGGCCTCCACAAGCTGTTGAAGGGTGGTATCCAAAGTCTGCTGTGCCCGGCCGGAACATGGTTCAGCTTTCCAATTGCGAGCAATCTCTTCATCAGTGCCACAACCTTTGATCCGCTTCAGGCACAAATTGCAGCGTAAGCCATTGCGAAACAATTGCCAGTGCGCCCACCCTCATTATCCTCCTGACTCAATCGCCGGAAAACGTCAACCCGACCTATCTTCTTGTTCAAGGGCCAAGTAGAACTGCGTCTCGATCGCTAGCAAAGGTGAAGGCACCTTTGATCTTGCGGACCGCAATGGCACAGGCGACGACGACGACGACGACCACCGACGACCGACGACCGACGAACTACGAACTACGAACTAGGAACTACGAACTAGGGACTACGAACTACGAACTGCGAACTACAATACTACTACCACGACTACGACTACCACTTGGCCGAGTTTGTGCCACAAACATTCCTTAGACAAGCGTTTCTGAACTGAAAGAAGTACACGACGAATGTCCCAGAGTCCGTGGCTGGCAGCTGGCGACGCAATGTCTTTTCCACCGAGCTGTTTGGGCGTGTAACAACGGTCTTTGCGTAGAGTCTGTTTGGCCGGGCAAAGTCATACCAACACGTCTCCTCCATTCCATTGCAATGTGCTTGATGAGGTTGCGGCTGCAGAACGCCGGCACAGAACTTTTCTACACTCGCTTGACACTTGTGTTTCCTTGCTGGCCACATCAACGAACCGCCAGCAACCAACCAGCACACAAAATGACCGGAGCCAAAAATACCTTCACAGAACTGCTGGGAACACAAAACACCTTGACGGAATTGCCGGGAACAAAAAACACCGTGGCGGTAACAAAAACACCTGGGAACACCATTCCAGGAAAAGGAAACATGGCGGGAACAAACACACCAAGATAGTCTATACCCCAATATGAGGTTCGCGCCAGCATTTGAAGCATGTCAAAACGACAGGATGTTACTACAGACACCTTTGTTTGCTTGAGCTCAGAAGTCCTGTCCGACAAAATGCCTTCCAAGTCTCCAAATCAGTCATATCTCATATCCACCACAAGAGGGTTCTACAAGGTGCTAGCACATGCACAAAAACATTCTTGTGAGAGCCTTGAGGTCAAACATGTTGTAGTGGGAATGGCAACGGGGATTTTCACTCAAGTTCCGCGGCGCAAGTGGAGCGGCTGTGCACTTGTCCAGTTTCGGGCCTCACCGTCAACGATGAGCGGTTGACCTGAGTTGGATGATTCACGCGACAAACATCCGAGATACAGTGCATACGGTCGGAAAGCCACAGATTGTCGTAAAAGAAAAACGTAAGCAAAAACGGGTAGTACGCAAGCCAGTCCAACCATGTCAAGGCTCAAGTTCAAGTTCCTGAAATCCAAACTCCAAGGTTCAGAAATTTCTTCAAATTGTCAACTTCCAAGAAAAGATGCGTGACTGGAATACGAGAACCGATGCCTGACACCCGCACACACTTATAGAAATGCGTACTGATGTGAATGCGGTTTGGCACATGCCGGCCTAAGTAAAAAGCTATGAAAACAGGGTTTAGACCTCCACAACTCGCAAATCTCAAGCCTCCAAAGCTCTAGGTTCCAAATGGCAAGGACCGCGAAATGATCGACTGACAAGGACGACGGAAACGTGCAAAGTCTGCAGGTTAAGAGCTGCGAAGGCCTCCAAAGCTCTCGGCAGATCCAAGGTAAATCGTCGATACTGCAGAGACACTGAGTGCAGAAAACACACGCCTCCCTGAGGGGAGGCGAGAAGCACTAAGGTCAGAGCAAATGTGTGAGCGCGTGCGCAGTGAGACAAAAGAATGAAGACATAGAGAGGAGACAAGATGGGACAAAGGTGTGTGTGGCTGCAATGAAAAGGAACCAAGTGCACAGGGACAACCGATGACAACCACCTCATTGCAAAGACCTGGGCGACCTAAAGCCTGAGTTGAAAGTAGGTGGTGCGTGTACATACTAAGGGCCGAGCCATGTGTACGCAAAAGAAGGAAAGAGATGAGACGACAGGAAATGAAGCAAGGGAAGACATGAAAGAAAAGAAGAGAAAAGAAGTGTGCCAAATGGAAAAGGATGAAAAGGGAACCAAATGGTGGGGACGGGAACCGATGAAACCAAACCTCATTCCAACGACCTGGGAAAACCTGCCTCGTTTGATTGTACATGCTGTATGTGCACCCAAGGTTGCGACAGGCTCCAATGGACCTAAAAGTACCACGGTCGCTCTGAACACGTAGAGGCATTAGCCAGCTTGGACCGCTGCGATCACGTTGTGGCATAGAGCAAGCTTGGAGTTCAATAATTCATCAAGTCTTGGCAATTAACTTTGGCCGAGGCCACCTACGCTCGCTGCGAGCTGCTCTGTATCCGGGCAGGGGATACAATCGACAAACCCCCATTCAACGGGTTTTCAGGGCACTCTACGGGGTCACCCTGGGCTGGCATGAAGCCAAACACACTTTTTGAACGCGTACTGATTTGGTTGCGGTTTGCCTCGCACCCGCCTAACTGAAAACCTAAGAAAACAAAACAGGTATAAGTACGGTGGCCCAAACCTCCTCAAAACCTGTGCAGCCTTCAACTCTAACTCGACAAATCCAAAGCGACAATGCACCTCTGCCGATGATGAACCGATGCAAAGGCTGGATATCTTGTTCTAGCTACAAAGGGGCCCAGAGGGAAATGAGTGGCGATCATCTTCTCGCAGGTACGTGCAATCTGCGTCCAGATTGCATATCACAGCAAACTTGAAGTGTCTTCGTTGAGCGGTGACTTCAAGAATGCCCACCGCTCCCCTGCTTATACTATCAATCAAACCTAACAATCCAACAGGAACCTTATGACTCCAAAGGTAACACACACACACACACACTCATGGATATGCGTACTGACTTGATAGCGGTGCCACACGCCAGCCTAAGAAACCCAAATCCTGAAAAACCAGGTGAGGTCCACCAGCTCCAAAAGAAACGCCGAGCGAACGAACGACAAGGTGACGACGTGCGTGCAAAAGGCCAAAAACGTCGCCACTGAAGGAAACAACGAAGTAGACAGCTTGTGCTCTACGTAGGTTTCTCTTCAAGCAGGTACGTCAATCCGGCGTCCCGGATTGATTTCACCAGCACACATCCAGTGTCTTCGTTGGTGCAAGACTGGATGGGCTGCTTGCACCCCCTGCTAAAATCCGAAAGGATCCCTATGATTCCAAGGGTTACACACACACGCCTCCCCGAAGGGAGGCATGTGTGACCTCCATCCTGCCCGGAAAGGAGGTAGGCACATGTGCACGCAAAAGAGACAGATGAAAATGAAAAGGACAAGACAGACAAAGGTGTGTGTGGTTGCCGATGAAAAGGAACCAAGTGAAGAGGGACAACCGATGAGCCAAACCTCATTGTAACGAACCTGGGCCACCTGAACCTTGCTGTAAGTAAAGTACGCGTGCGTGTATGTGTACAAACTAAGGTCCGGACGAGAGTGCGCGCAAGAGAAAGAAAGGATGAGGATGAAGAGACATGAAGACAGAAAGACATGAAAGAAACGAGGAAAAAAACGGTCTGTGGGGGCCGATGAAAGGGGAACCAAATGAACGGGGACAAACCGATGACAAACCAAACCTCATTAGAAAAACCTGTTGCAGAAGCCTAGTTTGCTTGTAAACACGCCGCGCGCGAGGAAAGAGGGGGCAGGGGGAGGAAGAAAAGAGAAGGAAAGAAAGAAAGAGACAAAGGTGCTCCCAGCTACGACACATGCGTCCAGGGACACACCAAAAAGAAGGGCTCCCAGCTATGACGAAGCATCCAGGGACACCCAGGGAGGAGGGTGAGGAGAGGAAAGAGAGAAGGAAAGAAAGAGAGAGAGCGAGAGGGAGAGGAAAGGAAGGTGTTCCCAGCTACGAACAATCGTCCAGGGACACACCCAAGAAAGAGAGGGGTGATCCTGAGTATTGCATTCAGGAAAACCCCAGAAAGCAAAGAAAGAAAGGGGAAGGGAAGGGGGAGAAGGGGGGGCTAAGTGCTCGACAGGTCCCAATGGACCTTGAACAGACTTTGGTCGCTGCGACCACGTACGGCTTGCCCGAAGGCTGCCACCTTTGACCGCTACGGTCACTTAAAGGCATGAGCCAGCTTGGAATTCCAAAGATGAGACATAAATCATCGGACGTACGGCCTAGGCCACCTACGCTCGCTGCCAGCTGCTCTGTATCCAGGCAGTGGATACGTTCGACGTACACCCGTTCAACGGGTCCACGGGAGGCACTCTGCGGGCTCATCCCGGGTTGGCACGAAGCCAAACACACTCATGGATATGCGTACTGACTTGATAGCGGTGCCACACGCCAGCCTAAGAAACCCAAATCCTGAAAAACCAGGTGAGGTCCATCAGCTCCAAAAGAAACGCCGAGCGAAAGAACGACAAGGTGACGACGTGCGTGCAAAAGGCCAAAAACGTCGCCACTGAAGGAAACAACGAAGTAGACAGCTTGTGCTCTACGTAGGTTTCTCTTCAAGCAGGTACGTCAGTCCGGCGTCCCGGATTGATTTCACCAGCACACATCCAGTGTCTTCGTTGGTGCAAGACTGGATGGGCTGCTTGCACCCCCTGCTAAAATCCGAAAGGATCCCTATGATTCCAAGGGTTACACACACACACTCTGACATTGGTTTTCAGTTAACTCAATTCCCAGGTGAAAGAAAGGCGAGAGAACCGCATGGCGAAAGGTCCACGAAATTTGTAGGTGTTTTAACAAATGGTTTCTTGCGCATCTGCAGAAATCACAACAGCAGCTCACGAGCCGCTGAAGGCGGCTGAAGGGAAAAGGTTTAGGGGAAGTATCGTGGAACCACCATGAAAGCAACAAAAAGAGAGATTGGAACAGCGTGGGCAAAAGTTCCAAACTGTCGCAGGTACGTTCGGATGATCAGTCCGAATATCCCACTCTGTGACCTAGCTTCGTTGAACTGGGTCAGTCACAGAGTGCCCAGTTCCCCTGCATATGCACGAAAACAAAAGGGAAAGGAACTCTTAGTAACAGAGGTTGACACACACACACGACGCCGAATCCGGCGCCCATGTTGCATGTGGCAACTGTTTTCTGTGGTTTCTTCAAGAAGCGCTCGCAGTCTCTTGCTGCGTGCCCCTTGAGGACGTAGAGGCGCACTAGCTCATCGGCCGCTGCAGTTGCGCGTTGTGGTGGGAAAGTGTATGCGTAAATTGCGTGGAGTCGAGATGCCAGTCCCGACAGGGTGAGTCGTTGGCTGCCTGCGCTTGTGGAGTCCCTGATCTTCCAGGGTTGAGTGGGTTGAATGTAGGTGATTGCGCGTTGGAGAAGGTCAATGTTGAAGCCGAAAAAGTGCATGTCATTCAAGCTCGACTGGATCGCTGAAGAAGTTGTGGTGGATGAGTGTTTGGATGGCTGGGCGGGAGAGGAAATGTTCGTCGTGGACGATGAAGCGATTGTCCACATAGCGGTAATAGGTGAAGTGTAGGTCTGAGCGGTGGAGGAGGTTATTGTGGAGCTGGTGCCAGGAGTGTTCTATGAGGGTGATGGCCACATTGCAAAGGGCTGGAGACAGCAGGGATCCAATCCCGGCGCCTCGGATTTGTTTGTAGGTGTAGTTGCAAGCCCGGAAAATACAGGTGTTGAGGGCAAAAGCCACGATGGTGGCGATGTCTGATGTGTGAATGGTGCGTTGTGTGGGATGTGTATGGTGTCTGCCTGTGTGAGAGTGGTGGAAGGGATTGCCTGTGGCTTTGGTATCGACGGTGAGGGTGTGGGTGGATTGCTGGATTCGCCATTCCTGGACGAGGGAGTGGACGGCATCGATCAATCTGTGTTGGGGAACTGAGTTGAAGAAACCAACAAGGTCGTCATTGGTCGCATTTAATGTGATGTCTGCTGGGGCTTGGGAAAGATAGGAGTGCAAGTGACGCCAAAGTTGTGGAATGGAGAGTTGTCCAGGGTGTTGCGGGAAGAGGTGTTGGAGGATGATGTCGAGCGCCCGACTGGCGATGCGAAAGAGGTTGCCGGCCATGGAGCGGTAAAAGGAAATGATGGTGCGACCTTTCTGCCATTGTTTCTTGGCTTTGAGGTGGACGACGCCGTAAGGGATGGTGGACGACGCCGTAAGGGATGGTGGACGACGCCGTAAGCTCCATTTGTATCTGGATCGAAGGGTGGATGGGATAGTGGCTGTAAGATGTTGGTGGATGT